TGTATGTACTGTATGTACTGTACGTATGTATGTATGTACGTATGTATGTATGTATGTATGTATGTATGTATGTATGTATGTACTGTATGTATGTATTATGTATGTATGTATGTACTTTTCCTCGTACAAGTCATTTCTCCACTGTTTTAAAGTCTTGAATTAAAATAGTTGACTTTACAGAAGTGAAAGTAGTCTTTAGAAGTAAACGCTAATGGAGAATTTAAATAATGTACGTTCACAATGAAAATACACCTGACTCTACATAAAACTACACAAACATCAGGGAAAACACATGAAGAATTAACACAAAGATGTGGAGGAAACCAAGGTTTTAATGAAAACTACTGTAGATTCTTACTAAGTTCATCGTCATGTGTCAGTATGGTGTTATGAAGAAATGGTGAGGCAGGACATCTCCAGTAATCCTCTCAGTGTATGATCAGATTACCACCAGAGGGTCTTAAACCCCCCAGTTAGAGCTGTGAGATTACTGTCAGCACATAAACACATTTAAATAACTTTCTCAATCTAATGACGTACTTTAAAGTATAGACAAGATACTTTTCATTTAAAATAAGTTTCCATTCTCAGCAGGTTTCTAAGGTTCTTCTTCTACATATTAAAAAGTTGTTAAACATCTGAGTGGTGCACTACTGCTACTAGTGGTGACAAAGTGTATTACACCTTATTCAAAAACGCGGTCCAAAGTTAAAAACTGTTGTTCTTTTGAGGCCCTCAGGGTGGCGCTCACGGCCCACAATTGGCCCATGGGTTAAGAATCTCTGGTCTACAGCACAGAAATGTTCACATTGTCTATGATTGTTTAGGCAGCAGTATGTTTTTTATTTTAACTTGTTTCAGCAGTCATGGAGCAGGTTTGTGTTACAAAGCTGTGCTGTTTGTGTAGCAGAGAAATGCTCTTTAAAGTGTTTTGAACATTGTGTAAACACACATGTAGGATACACTGACAGCTTCAGATGATAATCACAAAAAGCTCAGTATTGTGCAGTATGTTCCTTTTTGGAGAGTGTAAGATAAAGTTACTGATAATATCACACAGAGTCATGTGAACACAGCCTTTGTGTCGCTCTGCAGACTTCAGCAGCTCGTAAGCATCGATACTTTCAATAAAGCTAAATGCCTTTATTTAGATTTATTATCCAGTAGATCCATGGCTTACTGAACATTGTCATCTTTAATCTCTGTAGATAAATTTTAAACCTTTAAAGCAATAATTTAGCACATTTAAATGTCAAAACTTGCTTGTAGCAGTTGCAAAAATATATATATTTGCATTTCTGAAAGCCCTCTTTTGGTTTTATGCCTTATTTATGAACTGATAAGGCTGCACCTTCACTGAACAAAAATATAAATGTAACACTTTTATTTTTGCTATTTAAAATTCAAAGACGTTATGTGCAAAATAGACCTTCCTTCAAATATTGTTCAGAAGTTTGTGTAACTGTGTGTTAGGGGGACTTGTTTATTTGCAGAGATAATCCACACCACGTCACAGGTGTGCCTAATGTCTTTATACAGGAGGCAAGAAATGTTTGTGCTAAAATATAACTTAAATATAGAAGCTCGAGGAGCGAAAGACACATTAAGTGAAAACAGACAAAAATATTTTACATTTTGATGTTTAATTTGGTAGAGTTGTGGGAGTAAGCTGAGAGCGTCCATTTTCTGCTTATAGTTTTCCCCCATGGTTTTCTCATGATATCAAGTTATCTGTACAGGACAAACAAATATCACAATTTCAGCCTGATGATACAAAAATAACACAATTATGTACACTAGGTTGCCTTCAGGCCCAGACCGCCCTTACAAAAGTGATCTGTGATGTCATTGGGATTTGTTTGGTTAAATAAGGATGAATGGATGGTAAACTTTATCAATGAACAGCTGAGGGGACCAGTCCATCTACATGGTCACTGAATGATACACAAGAGGAAAACCATTAGCTCGTTATCTTGAGAAAATGGTCCTCGTTATTTTGACAGAACCATGGAAAATAATGATATGCATAAAATGGAAGCCGCTCTCGGCTTCCCTAAGAATAACGAGTTTTACCAGTCTAGTTTTAGATTTTAAATCAGTTTTTATAAATTTGTTTAAAAACAGTTCGGTTTGTGTTTCCAACCAGCTTCCTTGGAGGCGAGTCCCAATGACATGGCCTCCCCAGTGCCTGGCTCCACGAGTGGAGGCAGAGACGGGATTTACCACAAGGAGCATGGTCCCTCCCCGCCTCGCCTCTGGCCCATTCACTCTCTGCCTGATGTCTGCCCGAAAGAGCCAACCAGTAAGAAAATCAATGTTCACATTCTGGCTGTGTCCCAATTCATGGGTTGTGACCAATAATCCTGTTTCCATCCAGCTGTAGAGTAAATTTTTATCAAACTTTTCAAAATTCGTAAAAAATTCAATAAATAAATATTCGAATCAAGACTGTTTCCATCTAGTTTCCCTCTCGACTGTTTGATGCGAATAAACGAGGCTACGCAACGCGTGATTACGTCAGATGAGGCTAC